CACACCTGACAGATTTATCTCCCGTTTTGCCGGTGCTAGATTTATCTGTCTCCGCCCTAGGGTTGAGACGGGGGGATTCCCCTATTCATAACAATGGCATGACGTCACTTCAACAATACAATGACGTCACGTCAACAATCCATCAACAAATTGCCTGTATGTGTTTTGGGTCCATGTTTACCTTTATTTCACATTAAAATACTGTTAGATATGGGAAAAAAATAATCAATCGCTACTGGTTGTGTAAGATAGAGAAATCTCAACCCTCGGACTAAGAATTTTTTGTCCAGAACTCGATAAGCCTCGTTCTGGACAAAAATTCTTAGTCCTCGGGTTGAGATTTCTCTATCTTACACAACCAGTAGCGATAGATTCTATTAGTCTCACCCTAGGGTTGAGACGGGGAGATTCCCCTATTCATAACAATGGCATGACGTCACTTCAACAATAAAATGACGTCTCGTCAACAATCCATCAACGTCACGTCAACCCTGAACTTAGCATGTAACGTTATCATAACATTGTGTATATGATACACAATGGGAGAACAGGGTAAGAGAAAAAGAATCATTCACCCCCAAGGGGGTGAAAGATTCTATTAGTCTCACCCTAGGGTTGAGACAAGCTTCACGTGCTCTTACTATTTATGCGCTATCCACGTGTTCCTGTTTACAAACAATATGCTTCGTCTTACACTTGGACAGGAACAACAGGGCAAGAGAAAAATAATCATTCATCCCCTCGGGGATGAGAAAGGGGGATCTCTACCCTCGGGGGTTAGATTCTTAAGTTGCCAAACACTCGGCAAAGCCTCGTGTTTGGCATATTAGGAATCTTCCCCCCGAGGGTTGAGATCCCCCTATCTCACCCCCAAGGGGATGAAAGATTTTATTAATCATACACTCCAGTAATATGGGTACACATGTGTGAAGAGAGACATCATACACTCCAGTAATATGGGTACACGTGTGTAAAGAGAGACATCGTACTCTCCAGTAATATAGGTACACATGTGTAAAGATAGACTTCTATCATACACTACAGTAATATGAGTACACATGTATAAAGATAGACTTATATCATACACTCCAGTAAAATGGGTACACATGTGTAAAGATAGACTTATATCATACACTCCAGTAATATGGGTACACGTGTGTAAAGAGAGACATCGTACTCTCCAGTAATATGGGTACACATGTATAAAGATAGACTTAGATCATACACTCCAGTAAAATGGGTACACATGTGTAAAGATAGACTTCTATCATACACTACAGTAACATGGGTACACATGTATAAAGATAGACTTATATCATACACTCCAGTAATATGGGTACACATGTGTAAAGAGAGACATCGTACTCTCCAGTAATATGGGTACACATGTGTAAAGATAGACTTATATCATACACTCCTGTAATATGGGTACACATGTGTAAAGAGAGACATCGTTCGAGTTACAAAGGTAATACTCACCTTACATTAGGGATACACTGGTGTCGTTCGAGTTACAAAGGTAGTACTCACCTAACATAGGGGATACACTCGTGTCATCCCAGTTACCAAGGGTGATGAAATGAAACAATTTCAAGCTTTTCCGTGTCTTCAAAACTTCAATGAATCGGCTGTTAAAGCATATGAAATTGTATGTCTGTTAAAACGGCCATATAAATAACATATGCAGATAATTCATTTTAACAAACTCAGCACTCGTTTTATCCTATAAAGTAGCTGTTCGATTACGTATAATAAAAACATAAATAAATGGATATCGACATATTCATTGTATCAAAATATTTGGTTAAATTTCTCATTTACGCATTTCTAACACATTGTTTTCCATGTTGAACAAAACGAGAGAAAAACGGTAATGTTATCACGAACTATATCTTAAGGATTGAGCATTGCATTCATTAATGTTTTAAAAGAGAAACTTCATGAGCCAAACGATTATAAGACTCGTTCATGCTCAGGGATGTAGGATAGGGAAATTCTACCTGTAAGCTGTGAAAGTATAAAAAATATATAAAAAATGGGTTTGAACTGGCTACATTTTTGAAAATATCAACCTTTGCCCTGAGCTTTTTTGGCGAAAACGAATCAGTTTGCAATATCTAGCATACCCCATATTTGCAAACATACAGAAAAAATGATCTCATCTTTCTAACTTGTACGGTGAATATATTGTAAAAGGTTTTAATTTCATTACGTCGCCTTTTCCTCATTGCGGCATCAGACTTTTTTCCGAATTCGTGACGTCACATCATTGTTAACCATTTGGACGTCACGTCACGTGAAATGGGGTGTAAGATTAATAGAATCTCTCACATCCGAGGGGTTGAGATCTAGGGCTGATATGGGTTAGAGCAATTGTGTCCTATCCCATATATAAAATAACCGTATTTATTAGTAAGTATGGTGTATACACAACTGGAATAGGTCACAAGTTAATTACGATTCATATGGCATCTAGAAATATGGATCTTCGTCATATAAACCAGCATAGAGAACAAAAATCATTAGAAAGCCTTGAAAAGTACAAAAAAAATCTATCGGTGAGATGATGGTTTTTTGCACTATTCTTTATGAAATCTAATTCTTCAAACAATGTATGTAGGAGTGGAGGAAGACTGCATGGACCCATAACTTGTGATACAAAAACAAACAAAGTAGCTGCATATTCCAGGAGTGATGTCATACGCTTTACAGAGACTGTTGATAAAATAAAAGCGATGAATCAATGACAAATAATTTCATTCACAAAATGACAGCCTGATTTGATTAATTAGATGTTATAGACGTAAGTTGTCTAACAGGCACCATAGTAGACAAGAAAGTGGGGTCATTACATAGACAATATAGGGGACATAGAATAAATTACTCAGGATTCGAAAATAAAATAATGGAATAAATATTATGACGGGCCTAAGTGGCCTCTGTAAACATGTTTATTCTTAAACAAAACACGCTAGCTAGCCTTATATAGAGATAAAAATGAAGTACTCAAGGCAAAAATCTAAATTTTAAATGTTTCTGTTTTGGGAATCAATGTAGTAAATAAACAACTTCCAATTATCATACTTAGTCAGTGAGGTATCCATCAGCAACACGATTCCGGTTGTGTTGTATTCCGTCTGCAACGACTGTATCGTTTTCAGTATCTGTGTTGTTGTCATGTTGTTGTTGATTGGAAACGACTTCAGCACACAGATGTTTGCACGTCCGGCCACGGTATTCACGCGATCCAGAATCTCGGAGAAATAAGACGTGTTTAGATAAACGGCCTGAACGTAACTCCAGCGTAGGTGGGTCAACAGATGAACCAAAGTGGAAGTGACGTCATCTACCGGCACATTCACTGACACTAACGACGGGTACCTGTTAATGCAATACATTTTGAATACGTTATGATTATAATTGAATATAACACATTAAGACGACATACTATCATTGAGATTAAAGCATCAATCGTTTACATACCTTGTTATTCGGTCTACATCCGGGTAAGTGTCCAGGAGAGGAATTCCTTCCATAGACGGATGAGTCAACAGTTGGTCAGCTAATAGTGGATTCTGTTTCAGGCCAGAGAGCAGGGCTGTAAAACAAGAACTGACATAAAATCTTAAGTACTGATTTCTCCCCTACATTGTGAAAAATGCGTGTTTCTCCACTTCTGAGGTATGGGATAAATATGAAAAAATTGTGAAACAGGGAGTTTTACCTTCATATGAATAACTTGTACTAGATTTATTTGGCCAACCATTTCATTATGACGTCGTTTACTATGAACCAACGTCTAAAAACATGGGAATTATTTCCGAATCGTAAAGAATAATTATGTATTTAAAAAAAATGATATGGACATTATGGGAGAAAGAGTTTCCAAAATATCGTGATGGTTGAATATCATGTGCGTCCAATTCCCATGTCTTTATACGATGTGAACATCAACTCAAGATAGACGAACATGATAACAACCGCAATCTGTGACCTCTATTAACACTATTTTGGCGTTCCTTTTATTACACCAAATACGTAGTTATTTGTCTTTCCGACTTACAATATGGTGACATATTTAAAACATTAAATGAGTTTAGTATATCGTTACTAATTTAATTACCTTCCCCTAACCTCGTATTATGTGACACATCTCAATAAACCATTACTTTGCGACACTTCCCCCTGACTACGGGGTACTATAAATCACCTAGTNCTCTTAAATTCATTCCTTCTACATGGCGACTCACGCAGGTGTAAACAAAAGTCAACCAGATCGCAAAAATAGGGTTTCCGACAGGCGCCATCCTCAGGAAGGATATTTTATATATCTGATAGGAAAAACAGCAAGCAGAAGCAGTCACAACCGGTTCACGTCATAAAGTTGGTATCAGGCTCTTGATCAACCTGGAAATTCTTTCCTATTATTATCCATTGTGAACTGGACTTTGACCTCATTCGATAACAAAATAACATTAAAATGAGTACAGACCTTTCGATGCAATCTGAGTTGTCTATTTCCACTGCTGTTTTAAGAAATCCTGAATTCAGTTACACGACTATTAACTCACTCCATACCAGAAAGCCTTAGCAATCTTAAATGCACTTCCGCCACATGCCGGAAAAGCTTGAAACTGACAGTCGCAAGGAATGGCTACCCACATCAACAAGAAAAGCTCGTCTGGAAGTTCGAAATAAAGGGTATTGCCAAACGCGTGACACTACAGGTAAAAATAGCTAAAGCGTCTTCATTGTATAGAGTATTCTTTTGTTTGTATAAACTATCTAGCTACTACTCTATACGATTTAATTCCCTATTTCAATTGAGAGTCCATTTAAATGCCAACAAAGAGCATAATGACAGTCCCTTTTCATTGACGGCCCAATATTACTTTAGCTTGGTGTGTATGTTTCTCTAACAGTGTATCGTATGCAGTATAATGCTTGTACTTATTTAACCAGGAATAAGCCGTCTTTTGTAGTTAAAACGAGGACACGTGGATATAATTGATGAACCGAGGACTGATCAAATTTTTAAATTTACTTCAACAAAAATGTCATAGTTCATGCAGTGGGTTTTTGTTTTGTTTCTTTTACTCAAATTCCCTGTTAATTTTCTTTTAATATGAGATATTTTGTTTAAATGAGCTCTTCTCTAAATATTAAAAGACCTATTACAATAACGTTTGATTAGTTTTATTTTATATAGGTGTTATATACACGTAGTTACTAGAATGCTAAGATTCGGTAAGAGAGTAACGGTATGGAGTTAATGGATCGCCTTGTAGACAACCTCTTTTGATATTAAAATGTATGAAAATGAATTCTATATTCTTTATTATTGCAATATCATTTCAGCAAAAAAAAATCACTACTTATTTAGGGTGCAACTGAATCACCCCTAAGGCAGCCCCTTTTACATTCAAAATTACTTATGCATTTTTGTAATTGTATTGCTAGCACAAAGCAGTAGTATGCGGTGTAATTGGACGGCCTTGATGGAGCTCTACATGTATTCTTATTTAATAGTGTTACATGTATGTGTATTGACAGCTTGGAAGGCAATCAACAGAAAGTTTAATCAAAAATGTTATATAAACTTTATTTATTTTACAACAATTATGAAAAAAAAATAAAAAAATCTTAGCGCGCGGAGGGTTTACATGTGGAAGGAAACCGGAGTACCTGTGGTCAGGTAAATTATTGCACTTACTTTTAACTTATGTTTCATAGAAATCTATGTAAAGTAATAGAAATGATGTAACCAGCAGAAAGACTATGTTGTCTTATTTCAGGCTTCTGGTTATAGTGCGAAGTGTCCTTGATAGTTATAGGACTGTTTTCGTGATATTCAACTCTCTCTCTTGTAACAGTCAGAATCAGTCGTTAAAGTCCGCTTTCAGTGTCGGTTATATTCAAAATGTTGTTAGACACATATGACCAATCTTATCGTCAGCTAGCTGCAAACACTCTAGAATTTACAGCGGCGGGTCGATATGTTTTCTGCCTTTATATCTTGACAACTCGTTTCATAATATAGTTTTGAAGAATTCCTTACAAGCCNTAGTTATAGGACTGTTTTCGTGATATTCAACTCTCTCTTGTAACAGTCAGAATCAGTCGTTAAAGTCCGCTTTCAGTGTCGGTTATATTCAAAATGCATAATTCAAAGAATATATATTATACAAAATTTTAGCAAGACAGTGGTTTAATAGCTGAACAAAATAACACGAAAAAGTGATCTGATACTGACAATTTCAAGGACAGTTGTTTACAACTACATGTAAACTCCGTGTAAAGCAAATAGTTATCAGCGTGTGATTATTTTCCTCCTTCCCTCTCCTTACTATTGCTGATACTGAAGAACGAAATCTTTGGCGCGGGTGTAGCAAGCAGATATACATTGTACCAGTGACGCAACGTATCTAAACACCCGCCTACAGCGTTCGTTTGAGACAGGCAAGCAAGTATACCTAGATCACCCGACTTCTGAAGTCTATTCAAGTTATTCTAAACCTGTTTCGCTCGAAAGTTCGTTTGTATTGAAGAAATGTCATGGACGTAATCGTCCGGTCATTATCGACAAAAGGTCGTACTAATTCAATTGTTGATCGCGACTGTTACGTACTTACCGTACACACTATGATACCGGGTACCCAGTCCGTGGCAACTTGAGCGTGTCGAACAGCAACAAGTATTTGTTAAATGTAATTACATTTAACAAAGGTTTTTCCAATACAGGTTTAAAATCGTCCACACCGACTCAATCACAAGAATTGTGTGTGTGTGTTAGGGTCTAGTTAAGTTACTCTCTTATATTTTTCTTTCTGATTTCAATTTACTTTATCTTGTACGGAAACCAAACGGCGCCCTATAGCTAGGAAGTGTAAATATGAGAGGTCTGTATGTTGAGGTTTGAAATTATTTCCGTGTACTACTACTGCCATTCTGGAATCAGCTTCTATATATATCTAGATAATTTTCCAAAAAAGGCATGCCTTTCAAATTAAAGATTTTTATCAATTAGAACTCCTTTTTTTCTGCTTCTGACTTCTAAAGGACTGTAACACCGAGGTATTATGTAAAATTGTTTCCAGTACTCCTTCCTATATGAGCAACCATTATCCCTTCTGTTAAAAACATTTGTAGTAGGGTTCTTAATGCTTTTGAAAATAATGACCTTCATTTTGACGGCGTATATGGTGGTATGAGCGCAGTTGGTAACGAACATATTCTGTGTAGCGCACACAAAACTGTAAACATGGAAATAGTCCAGCGCCATATTTGAAACATGTATTAAATCCGCCGCATCAGTTTTGCATCGTACAATGTAAGTAATTTACTGTAGAATGAAACCTGTAAGTTAACAGACCCTTAGGGACTCCTAATGTACACAAAACATGTTTCAAAGCTGTTTGTTTCCTCTTTTAATTTAAGTTGGTACTGATTTTGTTTTATTCATAAACATTTTATGATGAACAAGTCACATACACATCAGATTGATAAATAGCACCCGTAAAGATCACAGCAGCTATACAAACACCACGTGCACTCAGAGCTAAAACATACGATACTCAGAGCTATACAAACACCACTCAGGACTATACTATACGACACTCAGGGCTATAATATACGACACTCAGAGCTTTAATATACGACAATCGGAGCTATACAAACACCACTCAGGACTATAATATACGACACTCAGAGCTATAACATACGACACTCAAAGTTATAATATACGACACTCAGAGCTATAATATACGACACTCAGAGCTATACAAACACCACTCAATGCTATAATATACCACACTCAGAGCTATAATATACGATACTCAGAGCTATACAAACACCACTCAGGGCTATAATATACGACACTCAGAGCTTTAATACACGATACTCAGAGCTATACAAACACCACTCAGGGCTATAATATACGACACTCAGAGCTATACCAACACCACTCAGGGCTATAATATAAGACACTCAGAGCTATACCAACACCACTCAGGGCTATACTATACGACACTCAGAGTTATAATATATGATACTCAGAGCTTTACAAACACCACTCAGGGCTATAATATACGACACTCAGAGTTATAATATACGATACTCAGAACTATACAAACACCACTCAGGGCTATAATATACGACATTTAGAGAGCTATAATATACCACACTCAGAGCTGTAATATACGACACTCAGAGCTATACAAACACCACTCAGAGCTATAATATACGACAATCAGGGCTATAATATACGACATATAGAGAGCTATAATATACCACGCTCAGAGCTGTAATATATGACACTCAGAGCTATAATATACGACACTCAGAGCTATAATATACAACACTCAGAGTTATAATATACGACACCCAGAGCTATATAATATACCACACTCAGAGCTATAATATACAACAATCAGAGCTATAATATACGACACTCAGAGCTATAATATACACCACTCAGAGCTATAATATACACCACTCAGAGCTATAATATATCACGTTCAGAGCTATAATATACCACACTCAGAGTTATAATATACGACACTCAGAGCTATAATATACTACACTTAGAGCTA